AGAACAGAAGGCTCCTGAAGGGGAGACCTTAGAGCAGCTCCAGTGCTTAAAGGGGCTGCAGGAAACCTGGAGAGGGGCTTGGGACAAGGGCCTGTAGGGACAGGCCAAGGGGAATGGCCTGAAACTGCCCGAGGGGAGACTGAGCTGAGCTCTTAGGCAGAAGCTCTTCCCTGTGAGGGTGCTGAGGCGCTGGCACAGGGTGCCCAGAGAAGCTGTGGCTGCCCCATCCCTGGCAGTGTTCAAGGCCAGGTTGGACACAGGGGCTTGGAGCAAGCTGCTCCAGTGGAAGGGGTCCCTGCCTGTGGCAGGGGTTGGGACTGGAGGAGCTTTAAGGTCCCTTCCGAGGTTCTGTGACGCCACGAAGGCCGCAGAACTGCCGGGCCCTCCCCGCGCAGCTGAGCGGAGCTGGCGAGCGCCGCTGCCGAGCCCGTGCTGCCGGCTCCCGCTAGCGCGGCACTTCCTCCAGCGGCCCCCAGAGGGCGCCCCCGCTCCCCGGTGGCGCTGCGGTGGCCGCGGAGAGAGCGGCGCAACCTGGCCCTGCTCCCCCCTCACCGCCCGGCTCCCCCTTATTGCCCGGCCCCTCCTCACGGCCCGGGTACCCTCCAGTACCCTGCTGCCCCCTCACTGCCCTGTTCCCCCCTCAGCGAACGGCTCCCCCCTCACTGTCCGGCTCGCCCTTCTGTTCCCCCCAGTGCCCTGTTCTCCCCACTGACCCACTCCTCTACACTGCCCGGTTCCCCCTCATTGTCAGGTTCCCCCCTCACTGCCCGGCTCCCCCTTAGTGCCCGGCCCCTCCTCACGGCCCGGGTACCCTCCAGTACCAGGCTCTCCCCTCACTGCCCTGTTCCCCCCACAGTGCCCAGTCCCACCCGCGGTGCCCGGCTCCCCTCCCACTGCCCGGTTCCCCCCTCAGGACCCGGTGCCCGGCTTCCCCTCACTGTCCCCCCCTTAGCGCCTTCTTCCCTCCTCAGTACCCGGCCCTCCCCAGTGCTCCAGCTTCACTGCCCGCCCCCCTCACTGCTCCCCGTCACGGCCCGGCCCCGCCTGGCCCCCGCCCCACGGCCGCCGAGTCTGAGCGTCCCGGCTCTGTGGCTGCGGGCGGCAGCGCCCGGACCCCGTGAGGCAGACGCCGCAGCTCTCCCTGCCCTGCTCTTCCCTTCGTTCCTCGGGCCGGCAGCAGAGCCGCCCGCTGCGCTCTGCCCGAGCATCGGCGCTTTTACCCTCCGCATCCCCTCGCCTTTATTTTTCTGTCATTCTTTGTACTTCGCGCCGCGCTGGACATGGAGCCGCCGCTGCTCCTGTGACGGCTTTTTGGGGCAGGGTTCTCCTGTGTGTCTTGTGGGCTGTGGTTTTTTCCCCTTCCAGCGGTGGGAGGACCCTTCCCCTTCTCCTTGAGTTACTTCCCTGCGCTCTCGGCAGCCTCGGAGCCTCCTGGTGCTGAGCGCAACTTTTCCTCCTCCCTCCGCACCCGCTCCCCCTCCGCTGTCAGCGGGGACCGGCGAGGCAGGCGAGCCCCGGCGAGGAGGAGGAGGAGGAGGAGAAGAGGAGGAGGCAGGAGGGGCTGTGTGTGCATGTGTATCTGCTGCCGGAGACCGGGACCCGGCGCTGGAGGTGTCCGCTGAAATATGGAGCATAGTCTTGGATGTGTTTGGGTACCAAAGCTGGTTTTTCTCCTCTTGGTGTTCTCGCTGGCGAGCCTGCATCCTCGAGTCGACGGTAAGTCATCTCTGCCGCGTTCCCCTTCGCTCTCCAGGGCGAGGGTGGTTTTTTCTCCGCAACCTGCCCGTTCCTCTTGTGCTAACGCACTTTCTTACCCTCTGCAAGTGCGATTTGGGTTTGGTTTGGTTTTTTTCGGGGGGTTTTGTTGTTGTTGCTGCTGCTCGTTTTTTGTTGTGAGCTTTTGCATCACCTCCCACAGATGGGAAGGGGGAACCGGGGTTAGAAGCGCTTTGCGCAGCCTTGGAGAGAAAAAGCAGCACTGGAAAGAAGGAAATCCATGGAAAATAAATGAGAAATGTGGCAAGAGGTGGCATAATAGGTGTGTAAGTGTGTGTGCCTTGGTGGTGATAAGGTTAGTTCCCATTCTGTTTTGCACCTGATCCGTCTCTTAACTGGATATATTCGCCTGTAGCTTTTTGGGTCTGTGTGCTGAAAGCAAGGGAAGGGGCTGCCTTTGCTGGGGAAAGGAATGAGCAGTGGATGAGTTAGCAAGGCAGAGATCACAGTTACCCGCAAAGCACCTTCCAACTCTATCAGGCTACGATTCTTCGGGGCTGCACCTCTCTTGCCGCACTTGGCAGAAACATTCTCTAATTAAAAATGGCAAAGCTGGTTGTGTGTGGAACTGGAGTAGGGGAGGAACTGACACAGCGATGCTCCGGGGCTACTTGTACGGGAGAGACAGAAGGGCTCGGCGGTGCACAGATCTCTTACTGAGAAAGAAGGAAAAGGGGAATGGGAGAATGAGCCAAGAAGTGTTAGGAACTAAGAAAGTGCAGCTTTGATTTGCAGGAGGCTCTGGGTGTGTGTGAGTGCATGGTGGAGGGAGATGCGTGAGAGGAAATACCAGTGCTCATTTAATTCTCTCCTAAAGAAACCAAGGAACACTTTGGCAGGAGAAACCTTGGGAAGGGGGGAGACTGGAAAACGCACATGTCTGTGCACACTGCTCTCGCAGCACCGACAGAGGAACAATGGGAACCAACTCCCCACACCACGCACACCAGCAGTAGAGCAGATTTTTTGTGAAGGGGGAAAGTGCTGCATGCGAAGTGTTCTGCTAAAAGATCCTCGGTGAAGCTCAGGTTATCAGCTGTATGCAAATGGCAATTGCCCGTGGAGGTGGTGCTTCCTTTACACATGGGGAGGGGGGGTGTCTTTTGATTGTCCTGGTTTTGGACAGTTAGCAAGTAAACTGGAAGATGCTTCTCCCGCGAACGCCGAATGAGTGTTATTTTGAGTGCGTGTGTCCCCAGCATTGTCCTCTGCAGTTACTTGTGTGGAAGGTGGGACCTGGGCAGTGGGAGCAGGATGATGAATAGGTGTCTCTCTTGCCTTTGCAGCTTAAAGGCTGGGAGATGGGAGACATGGCAGTGATCCTCCTTCATGAAAGATGATTGACTTGCAGGCTCCTTTGCTGCCAAAGGAGGGATATAGCCAGAGACTCTGTGTGCAGGTGCCTAGGGAGCTAAGGAGGCCATGTGCTGTGTCAGGGGCCAGACGCGGTGCTAAACCATTGCTCCCACGGCATGGTGTGGATGTTGTTTTGTGGTCTATGGGTGAAACAGCCACATATTTTCCAGCTACACGTATTGGTTTTGTGTTTCACACGCCACCTATGATACACAGGTGTTCATCGCACTGGTTTTGAAGGTGGCATCTCTTGTGCTGCGCTTCGCAGGCTGCAGGTGGGCAAAGTTTTCCCAGCACTGCAGCCCCAGGGGCTGTCACGAGTTTGTGCTTTCCCGAGCGTCCTTGTCACTGTCCTAACTCAGCCAACAGAACTGAGTAAAGCAGATTTTTGGGGCAAGGCTGTGCCCTCTGCTTGCTCACTGTGGTGTTTCCAATGCCATGCAGAAGGTGCAGGCAGAAGGTTCGGGCAGCACTGTGCTGGCACGGTCCCCTCGCAGCAGGGCATGGGCAGGCAGCAAGCCTTTCTAACAAAGGGCTCCTGGAGATGCTGCACAATGGGGCCAGCGCCTCTCCTGCTCCCTGCCCAAATCCCAGAGCTGCTGTGGGCATGATGGGGTGTGCTCAAAACTTTGGTACCAAAGGGTAGCGGTGCATGTGTGCGCGGGTAGGGGCACGCTGCTTCTGGCCAGATACAAGTTGTGTTTCCGTTGTTTGCCATTGTGTGTGAGGGGCAAAGTGTTTTGGGAAGGATGAGACAAAAAGTAGAGCACACCGTTGCACTTGTACTCGTTAAAACAATGTATATGTGGATGAAGAACAGCAGCACTTGCCATTTTGGAAAGAGACCATGGAAAACATGTTTCTGATCAAGGCACATGTAAATGATGTTGTGTTTGATTATTATGGTGCTGTATGGTTTGTTCTGTGTATGTCTTAAAGTAACCACAAAATATCTTTTTTTTTTTTTTTTCAAATTTTAACCTGTAGGTGGTGATTTAACTCAATCTCCAAAGCTTTTTCTTTTTCTTTTCTTTTCTTTTTTTTTTTTTTTTTTTTTTTCCTGAATGGTTTCTGTGTTTGGTGTCTTTGACTCCCACTAGCTCCCAGTGAGAAATTCAGTGTTAGTGCAGCACGTCAGAGCCCGGTGATGGCTGGGTACGATGGCAATCACTTCTCTGAGTGGTGCAGTATAAATCACCAGTGACCTGTCACAGCATCCATTTCCCATGCGCTGCAGTTGTCCTCTGTGTGATGAGGCCCATGAGCCACCACACATGTTAACAGGAGTGGGAGAACCGCCGTGTGTTCATGAGAGTATTTTTAAAAATGGAAATGAGCTCAGTCGAGGATGAGCCATTTACATTTAAGTTGTTGTCGTCTTTGTATAGTTTGATGAATGTTTTTATATTCAGCTGTTGTTGTTTTATGTCTTTTTGTCCTCACTCCCCCCTTCTCCACGTCCATATGGATACAGGACCAGTGCTGACTTTAAATATGCAGTCAGGAATGTTTGTTTACAATGAGATTATGCCAAGTGCAATCATCTCCAGATTTCACACTTGGTTCATTTATCCTTCACTGGTACTCCCTTGTCCTTCCTAATACAAAACTTAGCGTGAAAGATCTGTTCCAGAGCACAAGACGTGGCAGCACCATCAAGATATTCTCCCTGCATTTCTGTGTCTGAACCCTTGTTTGGTTGCCTGTTTTACTCTGGGACAGCAAGGTTTTTGGGGCAGGACTGTGAGGAGGACTTTGCTGTGCAGATTCATAGCAGGAGCATGATATGCAGTGAGGGCTTCCAGGATCAAAATGATTAATAAATAGAAGGAAGCCTGTGAGTCTGCTCCTTCAGGGATCTTGCAGTCCAGGTGAGTTCTTCACATCATCTGGCTGAGCTTAAGTTCAGAGCTAGTGCACTGACCTTGCTCTTTGCATTTTTCTGGAGCAGCCTGGGAGAAGTAATGGTGGAACAAGGGCTGTCTTCCTCCAAACCACCCAAGCTTTCCCTGCACTGCCAAGGAAGCAGAGAACCTTGCTTTGCATCCCCATCCTGTCTCACGTTTAGACTGGTGAAAGACTGGTGCTGGATGTGGGCTGGTATTTCCCAGTAGCCTGTTGTTTGACACCATCCTGCAATGACCTATGCTCTGCCTCAGCTCACTTCCTGAAGCATGTGTTGCATATGATGGCTAGGTTGGCCTCTTCTAACAGGAGACAGCTGTCAATCCAGTGAGATAGCAGCTAGAATAACTCTTCCAGTTTCAGTCAGAGTCATTAACCAGATGACCAGCGCATGGGTTTTCCACCAAATGTCCTTTAGAGGGCTCATACCGATTTTTCAAATGTTTTTATGAGATGAAGCAATGCCACAAAATCATCTCTTTCCTATGAGCCTGCTTGCCTGGCATACCCAGCCGCAAGGATAAAACTGCAGTGGGCTTGCACCTCCATTCTTGATGGGAAGGCTTATTGCAGAGACTTTAGCAAATGTGCTAATGTGAGTAAGCTGTGAAAGAAGTTTGCCCTTTCCTGGTATTTAAACATCCTACCACACTAAAGCTCACTGGCTCTTCTCCATGCCAGCTTAAGACGAGGCTTGGCTGTGGCACTTTGCAGGTGTAGGGACACTGAGATCCAAAGGATACAGCAGGAGCCAACAGGTATGTTCTTGCCTCATGTTTGCTGTTGCAAATCCCTCGATGGATGTGATCTACATGAATTAATTGCTTCATGTATTGAATGAGGTGGTTGCAAATGAAGCTAAGACTCAAAGAGGAAACACATTTCCACATGCCTAATTTTCCCTGTTGCTGAAACGCAGCTCTGTAACAGTGTGAGTCAATGCAGCCAGTCTCTTTATTGTAATACAAATAGATGGAAATTTCTTAAAATGTTGTCCTTGCCTGAATAAAAAGTATACTGACAAATTCCACTGAGGCTTTCATGACTAATTAACTAAAGGCAAAAAAAAAAAAAAAAATTCACTTGCTCTGTTAAAATTATCCTTTCTGTAAGAAATTGACCTAAATTCTTCTTTCCATTGGAATCCAAAGTAATCACACTGTCCCTGTCTTCCTTTCCTTTGCACCCCTCTTACCGTGCCCTCAGCTGGATAGAGATGCTCCTGCCCTGAAGTGAAAGTATCAGCATCACCCAAGTCCTCTGGAAGCCATCCACCAGCTACCAGCTGCTCTTGGCTCTTTCCCAAGTCTGTCACCACCCTTACTTTGAATTTGCTCAAGTGAATTCCTTCCTCCATGCTGGCCTGAGTGTTCATCTGCCAGAAAAATAGGTACCGCAGTGTTCTTCATCTGAAGGGTGTGATTGTGCTGCAGGCAGGGCTGAGCTCAGGCGGTTTGCAGGAACTGGCTTCACTACCAATGTTGATGCCATTTTCTGCCCTGCTCCCTGGTGCACGTTCCTGGTGCTCGCTTTACAGAATTCCTTCTCATGTTTGCTGTGGGGATGGCTTAAAAATTGTTACTGGTTCAGGTCCTTTGGAAATTAAATATACTTCATATGTCCGTTACCTTTCTCTCCCCCATTTCCTTCTATAAACTTCCAACCTGTTTGACCACTTCTGCTGTTGAAAAGTACCATGCTCTCCTCAGCAAGATAAAGGATGTTTGATGCTTTGAATTCTGTATTTAATATGGCTACAGAGCCTTGGGAAGTTGATATTTGCTCGGTTGGGTCTTCTGACCAGTTTGGATGAGACTTTCATCAACCTGGTCTAGTGGAAGGTGTCCCTGCCTGTGGCAAGGGGCTGGAAATGGAGAGCTTTCAGGTCCCTTCCAACACAAACTGTTCCATGATCCTGTGGTTCTGCACATCTGCCTATACAGAAAGCTATTGAACTGTGGAAAGCGATGACTGAAAGTGAAGTGCATCTCTTGATTTCTGACGGTATATTCACTGGTAAAATGGAGTATATTATTCCTGTAAGATAATACATCAGATAGTTGTAAACCTAGCAAAATTGTTTCTTTCTAACAATGTTTCTCAGTTTCAGCTTTGATGTGAAGGGCTACAGCTAAATTGGGCTAATGACAAACAAGAAAATCTCGCTTGAGAGTTTGGAGATGTCTGCACTATAAAGGAAACTGAATTCTCAGAGAGGCATGATAAATGCACAGTTAAATGTCTCAATTGCTGTCTCGGTTGATGGCAGTCATTTGTCGATGGTAATGCCAATATGTGCTGTAATTTTATAAATGCTCTGAAGTATTCAAAATACATTCAAAACTACTCTAAATTGCTGCCCGAAGTTTCAGCACAGTATTGGTTGTCAAACAGAGAATTTGAAAGGATAGTATCTACTTGGAAATTGCAGTACTGCCTGAACACCGGGTATCTTCTAGCCCTGCAAATCAGAGTTTAAAATGGTGAGACTACTGAAGTTTTGATGGTTTTGTTTTCTTTCAATGGTGCTTTATGAGCAGATTTACTGTATTGGTCATGTGCACTCAGTCCATGGTCACACTTTCCTTGGATGGAGGGCTCACAAGGTGCCTCCTCTCCCAGCTTGGAAGCAGCAGGTAAACAACACTCAGCTTTGTCATTTCCAAAGCTTTGATATCAATTTCCACCTGTTTTGGGAAACAGCATCCTTACCAGCTGAGCAGTTTTACTCATTGAAACAAATATTCACTGTTGTTCTCTTCTAGGGTCTTACAGCAAGAACAAAAAGCAACAAAAATAGATAAAGTGTAAAATAAAGATGCTGGAAATCACACAGAAAGGCTCACATTCTGTGCACAGAGCTTCCTGAGCAGTGCAACAACCCCAACGCAACCACCAGTGCAGGTGTTTATGAAAACATTTACTTTAGTTGGAGAACGTGGGTGTGTTGGATGCTTACTGTGACACTGCATTAGGAATCACAGAATCATCCAAATCACGGAGCTAGTGCTTGCTTGATGTGGATGTGCCGTGGAATGAAGGATGTACCGTGGGAGGTGAGGCCGCTCACTGGGGAGTGGATGGAGAGCTTGATAAATTGCAGGGTTATGGCTCTTTTGAGAGGCTCTGTAGATTAGCTGAGCTAAGGTCAGCTCTTCAATCACCAGAAGAGCTCTGCAATGAATGACAGTCTCTTAGTTCATATTTTTATCATTTATATAATAATAATAATAGTTTCCCAACCTGGTGTCCGTGTGCTGTACACCCTGTCAGTCAATGGGGTCTTCAGGTATTAGGCTGACAGATACTATGTTGTATTTGTCCTGAACAGGTGAGGAGCTACATTTTTGTATTTTCAATTTGCCATTGCTTTGTGCTGTCCTTTTTTTAACTCAGCATCATGGCTCCGTTCTTGTCTCCTGTTTATCAAGTTTCTGTTTACTCACACTGCATATCTTCTGTTATCTCCCCAGCTGCCCAGTGTCACATCTGTGCAGCAACTGGAAGTACAGGCTGTTGTAGTGGAAATAGCAGCAAGGTTACTCTTGGGTGTGGGTAGTTTCTACAGTGAAAGACAGAGAGATTATCAAGGTCTTCAGGGAGACCTTACAGTAGCCTTCCAAAACTAAAGGGGACTGACAAGAAACCCAGAGAGGGGCTTTGAACAAGGGCCTATAAGGACAGGCCAAGGGGAATGGCTTGAACCTGCCTGAGGGGAGACTGAGCTGAGCTCTTAGGCAGAAGCTCTTCCCTGTGAGGGTGCTGAGGCGCTGGCACAGGGTGCCCAGAGAAGCTGTGCTCAAGGCCAGGTTGGACACAGGGCCTTGGAGCAAGCTGCTCTAGTGGAAGGTGTCCCCGCCCATGGCAAGGGGTTGGAACTGAATGAGCTTTAAGGTCCCTTCCAACACAAGCCAGTCTGGGATTTTGTGGTTCTATTATTATAGATAACAGTAACAAATTAGTTTACTTCTTGCTTTTGAGTACACTGGGTAAACAAAGATTTTAATGAAAAATAGTGACACAAAGTTTGTGTCATCTGCCAGGCTGGTCACAGGTTTGAGTCTCAAGGCAAAGCAATTGAGGAGAAGTCCTCGCTTGAGCCCTGTATGAGATACACTTGTGCATGTGCTTGAGATCTTGCGACCAGGATGGGAACAGATAATATTTCCACCAAAAGAGGAATCATTTGTTTATTTAGTGTATTCTGTGTATGGACAATCAATGTAACTTCAGCCATTTCCCATGCAGTGCTGTGATACTAAAGTGACGCTTGACATAGGTTCCTGCCTATGGTGTGATCTGCAGCTAAACTGGTGGGCACTTCTGTCTGGCTGTTGAACTCTGAGAGTGTTAATTAGACAAAACATTAGACAGCTCTGGACAAGATCAATTGATATAATTGTGTGAAGTGTTTCTTTCTATAGGCAGGACTCCCCAAAGCATTGCAATTAAAAGCTGAAGGTTGCTTCTCTAGGAGTGCAGTTGATGTAGGACAAGGAGTGGTTTATCTTGGGGCTGGCATCAGGTACTTGGCAGAGGTGTGTTTCATCCTTAGCCCACGGCTGAAGGCTTATTCAGTGGAGAGTTTATGCATCATCATCCTTCCCCTTGTCTCTCTGACAGTCTTTTCTTCACTAGCCAAAGACTAAAAAGCATTTTAAAAGCATTCTTTTGAGTTTTTCTCTGTTACTTTTTATTCCTCTTGGAAGTATAATGGGAAGAAGAAAGACATTTTAAAAGGCTCTGATGGGCCTTCGTCCATATTCCCTTTTTTTTTCTTCCTTGCCTTCTGAAGCATAGGAGAAGGAGAGCAAAAAAGACCTTAAAACTTTTCCTCTGCTCTTCCATGGTGCTGAAGACACACAATGAACCATGGTTGTGGTGGGACCTGAAAGCACCAGCCTGTTTTCTGCTGAAGCAGCAGTGTGTTTTCTCCCTGGGATTGAGGCTTTGATTGACATTGTGATGGCAGGCACTCATGACCAATGCCAGGGAAGGACCTCTGCAAGTTCTCTGTATGACTGTAATTAGTAATCACAGTTTTGCCTCAGTCACAGTTTGTGCTCAACTACCTCCAGAATCACAGAATCCCAGACTGGTTTGGGCTGGAAGGGACCTTAAAGCTCATCCAGTTCTAACCCATTGCCGCTGGTCTCATCTCAATCTCCTCTCTGGCAAGTTAAAGCTATTCCCCCTTGTCCTGTCCCTACAGGCCCTTGTCCAAAGCCCCTCTCCAGCTTCATATGGTTGCAGTTACGTGGCGTTTTCCCCAAATTCATCAAATTGGTCAACATTCATTCTCATTTTCCAAATGTCATAGTGATTGTGCTTCTCTTACCAGACGTGAAAATCCTTTTTCCTAGTTTGCTCTTCACTTATTGTAGATGCTGCTGAACATGCTGTTGGAGTGACTGGTAATCCTAATGTCTTATATGTTGTATATAAATATAGCAAAAAGTCCCATGATCCCCTATTCTGCTTTGGAAGGAAGCTTCCTAGATTTTTTTTTTACTTAGAAGGTTGAAGATGTTTAAATGAATTATTGAAGAGGAGTCTGCCATACATATGAAAGTAGTTAACAGTCTTAGATTTAGACTTTGCCATTAGAAAGGATATTGGGATTTTTATGTATTTATTTATGGGGCCTCCAGATCTGCTTGTTTTCCCTGTACAGGATGAGTACTGTTTCCTCCTGCATGAGAAACAGTGTGAAGCAAGTTAAAAAATTAACTGAGTCTGACAGCTCTTGTTTTACTGTTCATGATTAGGAGGATGCAAAATGAGATGGTTTTATACTGCTGAATGGTGTCAGAGAAGCTTTTTTCAGTGTCCACAGAAATTCTGTGTGTCTGTGACACAAACGCCAATAGACGCTGATAGGTCCCATGGTCAAAGTGTCAATAGGACATTCAGTCAACAAGCAGTGTAAGGATGCTCAGAGAAAGGCATCAATGCACAAGATTTTAAAGTGTTGTTGGACTGAGGGTGTTGTACGTTTAGTGCATTTGCAAAAAAGCATATGGTTTTGTGTTTTTACATCTATGATGTTAATTGGTTTTGACATTAAAAGTAAGGGGATACTCTGTGGAAATTAAAACAACTATGTGCTTTGATATAGCAGGTGTGTGTTGTAAGAAATATATTCAGGTCTGGCAGAGGCTGTTACACATGGCAGTTTGCTCTGATCTCCCTCTCACGTAAATATTATTCATTCTTTTTGTTTTTATTAAGGTGAAATAAAGGTCATCTGGGTGAAAGATTCAGGAGAAAACTGGGTAAACAGCTGTATTTCCATACTGCCCACAGAATTCTCTAAGCCCACAGTAATGGGCATAAATCAGATTTATTTTTTTTAATCCATGAAATGTTAATGATTTAAACAATTACAAAAAGAGAGAGAAAGGTTGTTTCGGTACATAAGGTCAGGTTCTCAACCTGAATAAATCTTCACTGACTTCCACGGAGACGTCTTCACATCAACAAAGTCCTCCTAACACAATTTCTAGTTGATCATTTGCATTCCTTGTGAGCTCGCATAGGTGCTGGTTCTTTGCAACCAAATAGCTTTGCTCTAGCAGGTGTATTGATATTAAAAGGGTTGTTAACACCTCTCCAGAGGGGGATATTCTGTTACCAGTAACTCTATCAAGCTCTTCCATCTGTGTAGGGAATTTGTCAGAAGCTAGTGTTACGTTATTAAAAGTATTAGTTATCTCTTTTTTGTGTCTAATGGAATTACATCATTAACAGAACTCCATTACAATATATGGAAAATTATATCACCACAAGGACAACAGCCTCTTGAGGTTGGGAGGAATGCTCTATGCTCAACCATTCAGGCACAACTGGGACAGTGTCATGACTCTCTAAATAAGCAAATTTTCCCGTCCTGATGGAGGGGAGGTTTGGTACTTAAACGGGTGCTCTGGCTTGGAGCCACCCAGATCCCTCAGCACTGTCTCTTCACTGCAGATCGTTTTTTGGGAATCAAGTATGAATCATGGAATAGTTAGAGTTGGAAAGGACCTTAAGATCATCTAGTTCCAACACCCCTGTCATGGGAAGAGGCACCTCACACTAAACCATGAAACAGCTTTGATCTCAAACACGCAAATTAATAATACTCTGGCTTTTTATTTCCTTCTTCCCCTGATTCTCCTTACATAAGTTTAATCTGCCTTTATCACAAATTCTTGGTGGAGTGAAGCCATTGATGAAGAAACAATGATGATGAATACTCCATCCCTGGCAGTGTTCAAGGCCAGGTTGGACAGGGCCTTGGGTGACATGATGTAGTGTGAGGTGTCCCTGCCCCTGTAAGATCTTAAGGTTCTTTCCAACCCAAACCGTTCTGTGATTCTATGGTTAATCACAGGGGGCATCCCTGTGTGTGCCATGCTCAGGCTCACACTGCTCCTGCTTTTTATAGTTTTTCATAGGAACATCTCCCAGCAATGATAATTGCATCTGTCAGTAACTACAAAACTTACCTAGCTTTCCAGAAGACACCCTAATGCATGAGATGTGGGAGAACAAGCTCAAATCCAGACAGAAAGCAGAGCAGAGCCCAAAGTGGGTGTATCAGTTTTTTTCTAAGTTGAAGATACTGGCCATAGAAGTGAATCATTGCTCCTTGGAGAATTGGAAAGGAAGGCACAGACTCTTGGTTGGTTGTTTAATTTGCTGCCCACCAGCGATGGCCACCAGCTACTACTGGTGGCAATGAGACCTCTGGCTGCAGCTGAAGTGTAGAAGAAAGATTTTACAGTGACAATACAGGACAAACAAGATTATTCATCACACACAAGACTCTGAGAGCTATAATGTTGGGAGTATGTTATAGCAGATCCCTGGGCTATATTATACCATTAATTTTTTTAAAAGCAATACTCTTGACAGGTTTTAATGGGAAATTCCACTTACAAATCAATGGTGTGATTCAGTCCTGTATTTATTAACACATTCCTCAGATTGCAGATGAGTGAAACTACCTGAGTACAATTCAAATGGCCCTTAAATGTGGAGTGTGATAGTATTTGAGTGTCCGATAATTTATATTGCCAGACTCTGTCTTGGTAAATGAGATCTGTCTCTGTGCATTAATATTCCAAATACCTGATAGCAATAACTATTTCATTAGTTCTGATTGTACTTGACATCTACATTGCCAGGAGTTTCCCTGCATCACCCTTTGCTCGGCTCCATGCTTTGCCACTAAATGCTCTGTTCCCATATGGTAGGTAAATGGGTTGTGTCAGAAATAAGTAAACCTTTATACAAGGTCAGTTTGGGTCATTGCATGACTAAAGAACAACAAAAAATGAAGCCAGACACTTCTGGAGCTGGGGTTAACTTTTCTGGTTTTCTCAGCCTGATAAATGGATGCTGATGCAGAAGTTTCCATCCCAAGAGCTTCTCCTTGACAGAGGTGTAGAGCTAAAGGTCCCAGGGTCCTTCCCATGAGGAAACCTGGTGATGAGGCTAGCCCACTCAGGTATAATTCTTTCTCTAATTTTCTACTAGGTTTTCAGTCATTCCAATTCTAAAACCTCATTTTACCAAATTGCCCCATGATGCTGCCACAGCCTTATCAGTGTCCTGTTGCTGCTTGTCCATGAAATTAAATGACTATGGGGAGGTGCTAATCACAGTTAAGGCTAAACAACTGCAAACGCCTACAAAGGATGGTAAAATGCTCTGAGGTTCCTGTAGTAAAAGGGTACGACACAACTGTAAAGTATGACTATCATAAAAACGCTGATCTTAGCTCTAGTAAGCTCCAAATGAGGCTAGAGTTATACTGACAATAAATTACATTTTAAAAGGTAATTCAGTGAATGTATGATGAAAATTTGCCCTCTTTGTATGTGATCTGTCAGCAACTTACCTGCATTTGTTTCTCATTTTTTGTAGAGCATTTCTTTATGACATATACATTATTCTTTAATATAAAGAAGCAAACAACTAATGATTTCCAAAATTCATCTCAGTTTGGCTCCTGGGAGGAAGATGGTCTTTTAAAATTATAATCTGTAAACATATTCCCCCAAATCTTTTGCAGTTGACTCCTGAAACTCTCACTGAAAAAACCAACCCAAACACATTCCTTCTTTGTGGTCTTTAGTCTGAAAATGGGAAGTGTTGTTAAGTGCTGAAGGCCTTCCCTTAGCCCTGTTACTGTAAAAGACATTCATGTAATTGGATTGCTCAGCCTGGAGAAGAAAAGACTCTGGGGAGACATTTAGAGCAGCTCCCAGTGCCTAAAGGAACTACAGGAAACCTGGAGAGGGGCTTGGGACAAAGGCCTGTAGGGACAGGCCAAGGGAAATGGCTTGAACCTGCCCGAGGGGAGACTGAGCTGAGCTCTTAGGCAGAAGCTCTTCCCTGTGAGGGTGCTGAGGCGCTGGCACAGGGTGCCCAGAGAAGCTGTGGCTGCCCCATCCCTGGCAGTGTTCAAGGCCAGGTTGGACACAGGGGCTTGGAGCAAGCTGCTCCAGTGGAAGGTGTCCCTGCCCATGGCCGGGGTTGGAACTGAATGAGCTTTAAGGTCCCTTCCAACCCAAACCAGTCTGGGATTCCTGGTATTCACAGCCTTAAAAGGCTGCACAGGACATGAAAAATGCCCCTCTGTGTTCCTTTGAGCTACAGCAGGTGAATTCTCAAAATTGTTCATAGTCATTTTTCTGCTTGTTAATGGCCTTTCTGGGCAGATGAATTATAACCTTGCACGAAACCAAAATGTTAAGTCAACAGGCAAATGACAGAACTGGAGGCGAGTATTGCTTCTTAGTTTGTACTTAAGCAATAACTGTAATGTTTGCAGACCAAGACTTAAGTGTCAACTGTCAGGACCAGAAGGGCTACAGCTAACAAAGCACCTCCCATCCTCTCCTTCTGCCTTCACTCCCCCAGCTAAACCAGCATATAGATGCATGATGCAAAGAGAATTTTCCCCTAATTAGATTGCCAGGGGCTGTTTATTCAACTTTTGTGTGGAGTGATTTCTGCTGGGCTTCTAGCATCTCCTGCCACACTCAGGGACATGAGTATCACCACGTCACATCTAGGAGTTACAGATTCTGGTCTCTATAAACTCTTTTGAAGGGTGCCTGCATTTATTTTGAGGGTTCATGGCATGCAGTGAAGCTCTGTGGACCTTTCTGCAGCTGGTTTCCATTGTGTAGGGATTCTGTGGATTGGGCTTGATGACCCTGGTTGTCTTGTCCCATCCAAAGCCCTTTCTACACATCTGGTCAAATTGGAGCCCTCCTTGTTGGGACCTCCCTGCTGTGAGTGAGACCTGGTGGGAAAATAATCTGCTTTAACTTCACATTTCTGGAAGCCTGCCATTTAAGGCATGGTAACATATATTAATCTGTGGAGAAAAATAGCCACCTCCAGGTGGTGTATTGTCTGACCTGCCTTGATATCTACCTTGAGATAATGCTAACCTTCACAAGGTACCTACTTTATTCTATTCTTTATTCTACTTTAATTCTATGACCGTGTAGTATTAAGGAAACCTGAACATCAGTATTATGAAAGACACAGGTTTTTTTTTCAAATGATTTCTAATGCAAGTTTGGTATTGAATTAACAAAGTGACCTTTGTGGCATTTACCTGAAGCACAGGGCATGGGCAGAGAGTGCAGAGTCGCTATAATTAGGGGCACAGCAGACCGGGAGGCTCTCCTATCAAAGCTTGCCTTGGAGCACTGGATGCCTCAAGCAAGAATCGCTAAGTAGAGGCAGAGGCAAGGAAATGCTTGTTATCAGAGGGTTAGGGCAGATCCTCTTGAAACTTTGCTGTCTACTAGATTATGGTAAAAGAAAAGGAGCTGGAAGTCGACAAACTCTCCTGCGCATTAGAGAAGTGCAAAAGGCAGTTTCTTCTGTGCTGCTGCTTCCAAGCTCTTCCTGCAGCGCTGCTGAGGTTGACCTGTTTGACACCCTCCATGTTTTAGGCAGTAACTCAGTCAGGGAATTGTCTTCTTTTTTCTTTTTTTTAAGTACAGATTTTTTATATGTCGCATACTAATAGACTATACATTTATTTTATTATTTTTATAACATATTGAGTGTAAAATAAAGTATACTTTCTGCCTAAATGGATTGGGACGTATCCTTTTTTTGCAGCCTGATGGCTTCTGTGGGTGCTGTGCACATATGGACAAGGGATGAAATCCTGTCCTGTGAATAGAAGCAGTTTAAGCTCTACATAGGGCAAGTTTGTACCCATGTTGCTGAATAAATATTTGTGTCCATGTTGCTGTATTTGCATGTTGTTTTGTATCTCAGATATAGCTAGGTGGGCACATATGTATGCATTTATGTATATAATACATGTGCATTATATATATAATGAGAGAGAAAATGCAGGTTCTTGGTAAACTACAGTTAGGAAAGCTAACAAGCATACTGGAAAAACAAATTAAAATTGCAAGTTCACAGAACTGTGGTAATTATTTTTCTCCACTAGACTGAGTCAGAATCACAAAATCCCAGACTGGTTTGTGTTGGAAGGGACCTTAAAGCTCATCCAGCTCCAACCGCTGCCATGGGCAGGGACCCCTTCCACTAGAGCAGCTTGCTCCAAGCCCCTGTGTCCAACCTGGCCTTGAACACTGCCAGGGACGGGGCAACCACAGCTTCTCTGGGCACCCTGTGCCAGCGCCTCAGCACCCTCACAGGGAAGAGCTTCTGCCTAAGAGCTCAGCTCAGTCTCCCCTCAGGCAGGTTCAAGCCATTCCCCTTGGCCTGTCCCTACAGGCCCTTGTCCCAAGCCCCTCTCCAGCTTTCCTGCAGCCCCTTTAGGCACTGGAGCTGCTCTAAGGTCTCCCCTTCAGGAGCCTTCTCTTCTCCAGGCTGCCCCAGCCCAGCTCTCTCAGCCTGGCTCCAGAGCAGAGCTGCTCCAGCTCTCGCAGCATCTCCATGGCCTCCTCTGGCCTCGCTCCAACAGCTCCACGTCCCTCTTGTGCTGCTGCCCCAGAGCTGGATCAGGGCTGCAGGGGGGGTCTCCCCAGAGCACAGCAGAGGGGCAGGATCCCCTCCCTGAGCTGCTGCTCACGCTCTGGGGGTGCAGCCCAGCACACGGGGGGGTTCTGGGCTCAAGCACTCACTGGAGCTGGGGCACGGGGAGCTTCTCCTCACCCAGCACCCCAAGTCCTCCTCAGGGCTGCTTCCAATAAACTAGAAAGATGTGACTTGTACTGAAGCTTCCAATTTGTATTTGTAGGGGGAAAATAGTCATGGCGTTATTTGGACTGCAGGAATCAGGAGTTCAATGCCAGATTAAACACATTCTAGTAATCTTTTGCCACTGCACACAGATGCTAATTTTGTATGCTGAAATAATATGTGTTGAAAGCCAGTGAGGTGGCAATCTCCCTCCCCCAATAGAGAATCAGAAAATTTCCCCCTGTTTTGATCTATAGTGTAAATTAGGGCTATAAAGTGGAGTGCTACATCTTCATTAAAAGAGGAGACAGTAATCATGAGACCATGCAGTGTGATGGTGCAGCGCTTTCAGTTGGTGTTTTGTTGCTGGGTGGGTTTTCTTTGGATTATGACTACTGAATAGTGGTTCTGCACTCGTGCAACAATATGAGAGCAACCTGTGATCAACAGAAGCATTCACACATTTTCATGAAAAGATGTGGTGCTTTATTGAAATATTTTATATTGATTATCAGTGCATGGATTCCTTAAAAATATTTTTTAACTAGGAATTGAATGTCTTTTCCTGTAAATTATAATAGTGAACTGTACCCAGGGACAGATTTTATAAGCATAAATCAGTAGTATGACTTCATGCCAAGTTTTGGCCCCCTGGGGTTTTCTATTTTCACTTCCAAATAGCGATAAATTATGTGTTTTGCATACAATTAATGTGTTTTTAATGAACAATTAGAAAATTGCTGTGGGATGAAATTACTGTGATTTAAACTTTGACTTTCAAAGGAAAAACTGCCCTCTGTATTTATACATGTGCCAGATTGTTTTCCATACACGTTTTATTGCCTTTGCAATCCTTTTTGGGGTTTTAACTGAGCCTGGACCCCTGTAAAACCTGCTTCTTATGCGATATGAAAAAAGCTGTTGATGTTTTGAGGTTTCCTCATGTTGGGACAGATTTTGGGCAATGACTGGAAATAGCACCTTGGAAAAGCAGTGGCTGTAGGTCTGATCTCCCTTCTGATCTCCCTCCTGTTCCTGCAGATGAGTAGGCACCTTAACCAAAGTAGTTACACCGATGTAGAAATGCTGGCACAGAATGCATGAGGCTTAATTTCTGCACCATGGTAAATCTCAGGTGTTCCCATGATCTCAGCCTGGGTAGCATTTGGGATTAGGATCAGGGCTTTGGGCTTGATAGTCACTTGCAGAGATTTCAGCTGTTGTCTAACAAGGATTTATTGTGTTTGACAGAATTTAATTCTGACTTTTCTGTAGAAATCAGAATAATTTTCTCACACCTGTGTTTCATGAGATGATTGGCTTTATAAGAGCAGAGAAAGTAAATGTGAGAGGGGAAGGTGAAACATTGATCTATAATGCGTTGAGCTTGGGCTTTACATACGTAATGTGGCTCCTTTATTTTGTGGTGAAAATCGCAAGAATGGTTGTGAGCTTTCAGTATTTTCCAGATTGTCACCAGTGATGGGTGGGTTTGGTGTATTATATGAACACACTGCTGAATATCCATCCTGACAGT